GCAAAGTCTATCATTAAGCTCATATTCATTATTAAATATCTGAGCACTGTAATAATGTGCAAGGTCCTCATCTAGTCACTGAGGGATAGAGAACACAAATCAAAACCCTGTTCTTATACTTTGTCTTCTGGGGTGAAGTTGAGGAGAAACAATAAATATTACATGTAAGGTGGCTAATACTGAATATCCCATGGTGCACTCTATAATGGTGGTGCTGTGTTGCTATTTTATGTAGAACTACACTGGGTGGCCATATTATGAATGGCCTGATTATTGTGACCATCCCATCAGTACTTCGTTGGGCCACCTTTTGCCTTCAATACTGCGGCGATTCTTCTTGGTATTGATTCCACGAGATGTTGACAGGTGATTCGAGGAATCTGACACCATGCCTGATGAATAGCACTGTCCAGTTCTGTGAGATTTGATTGTTGTGGAACCAGCTGCCTGATGGCTCTTTTAACTTCGTCTCACAAATGCTCAATTGGATTGAGATCTGGTGATTGTGGGGGCCACCTAAGCAAGGTAAAGTCTCCCTCATGTTCTTGAAACCACTCCTGTACAATGCGAGCACCGTGGCATGGCGCATTGTCTTGTTGGAAGAAGTCGTCTCCATTGGGATACACCATCAACATGATAGGATGAACTTGATCAGCAATGATACTTAGGTATGTTGTGCTATTCAGACGTTTATAATTATCTGGCCCTCTAGTAACTTCAGCACAAAATTATAGCTAATTTGCCTACAAACGTCAGGTGGTCATAATAATCTGGCCACTCAGTGTAGAAGCCCAGTGCATGAATTCATGCATTGGTGGGGTCTGGCCAGCCCATCCCAAACGGAGATGGGGGGTCGGTGGGGGCTGGGGCCGGTTGAGAGGAGGGGCCATGGGCGGTTGGCTGGTCAGCCCCACCCCCTGGTCAAACTCCCAGACCAGGCTAATTTGCATATGCCTTTTATTATATAGGATATAGTATAGTCAAAAGCCACTCGAATTGACATTTGAACAGAGACCTAACAATTAGGAGATAGCCATATGATATCTAAGGTTAAGATCATTCTAGGCAAGGGAAGAACAAGGGCAAACATCTCAAGTCTCAGCAGAGGCCTGTGTGACAGCTGAGGGAGTTGGGGAAGGTGTGGAGGCAAGCAGTGATTAGAAATTTAAGTGGTGGGAAGTCAATACAGTCTGTAAATTGCTATTAATATTTTGGCTATTCTGAATAAGATGGGAAACCATTAGGTTTGTAGCAAAGGGATGATATGACATAGTTTAAAAGGATTATGCCAGGTGTTGTGTGGTAGATTGCTGTGAAGGAAGAATTTGGGAGACCACCCAGTAAGCTATTGCAATAATCTGAGATGGTGAAGCTTTAGACCATTGTGCAGCAGTGAATATGGTATACACGTAGGTCCTGAATAAAATTTAGAAGAACTGACAGGAGTGGAGAAATCAAGGTTGATGCCTAGTTTGGGGGCCAGTGCAACTGAATGTCATTTACTGAGGCCAAGAAGAGGTATGCATGTGTACATGTCTGTATGTAGATATCAAGTCAGCTTTAGACATCTTAAAGGTACCCTTTCAGGTAGCAGTTCAGGAGAGATGGCTGGGAGGTCAGCAAATGACAGTTGGTTAACTGTGTTAAGTAAACAGAGCATAAAAGTACTCCCACTGTTTGGCCTTGACATTTAAATTTGATATGATAAACAAGGAATGGAGATTACACAAAGTCTCAAACAATAAAATGTAAAAATGAAAGTGTTATTCATAAAACCATTTCCTACAATACATGAAAAAATCAAGAGGGCTCAAAATAAAAAGTTCATCTAGAAATAGTGTACAACTTGGAGATAATTATCAGAAGCACTGTTCTAGAGTTAATTATAAAAAAATTCTTCAAAATGAGGCAACAAAGTACTTATAGGTTAGCAGAAAATAATGCCAGTGGTCATTATAAAAGTCCTAAAGAAAACAAGTGTTCAGCCAACTTCAATCTTTTCTAGCCTTTCTAGAAAACTGTAGTTTTGATTTTCTTGTTTCTTCATCACTTGGCAGGGCAGAAGCTGTCATGCTTTTAAATCCCATTTCCGAACACCTTTACCATTTACTTTTCCCATTACATTGAAAGGTTCTACCAACTGCCTTAAGCTATACTTAATGTTAATTTCAGTAACACTGCAAACACCCCTAACATGACAACTCACTTTTGCAGTTTAAAAAAAAAAAAATTGATGTAAAAGCCACAGAATGAAGCCAGGGTTCAAATCCTTGTTCAGCTAGATAACCAACATTTAGCACTTTTGTACCTAGTTGCTTTTTTTCAACACTATCCAGACCTTGGTTGAATTATTTATACTGCCTTGCCGCTCCCCCAAGGTCTTAGTTATGAATTTGAATGTCAGGATGTTTGTTACTCAGATTAATTGCAGTATATTATTTTAAATGTGTCAATCCGCCTACAATATTATTTGTAATTCAAAGTACAAATTTGTCAATTATATGGAAATGTACTACTTGGGCATACAATCTAAGTTCCTGTAGCCATGAAATAGGAGTTGTAAAATAACTCTAGGGTCCAAGGATTACTAAATTATAAAGGAGAGAGCTAGGAACAAACTTCCAAACTAATCTGCTTGGTTTAAAACAGGCTACTGGGTGCCACTCCATGGTTTCTCAATCAGTAATAGTCCTGCAGTGGCATCTAGTAAATTTCCATTGTAAAGAATTTCCCGAATGGCCCTGGCTGGGTGGCTTGGTTAGTCAGAGTATTGTCCTGTGCACCAAAAAGGTTGCTGGTTTAATCCTGTCAGGGCTCCCGCAGGAGACAACTGACCATGTTTCTCTCTCAAATCAATAGAAACATATCCTCAGGGGAAGATTAAAAAAAAATTCCCAGATGATACTGGTATTACTGGTTTTGGGATCACTTTTTGAATCACTATCCTAAATTCTTTATACTTTTAATTTCTAAGTTCAAAACAGAATTTACAAACAATATTAGGTTAAAGTGTGAATTTCATGTTAGCTGGAATTACTGAGTAAGACCAAAGTGTCTTTAAACAGAGTTTAATGGTAACAATTCCTTTAAAGCTCAATTAACCTTAGCTATTACAAGTGTTATGCAGATGTTACTAGACAATATTTAGTGACTTGCACTGGGTTCCTCATAAAATAGAAGACAAATTCACCTAAAAGTGTAACCAACAATCATTTAACAGCTTTGTTATGCCAATACAAAACATGGCTAATTTGAGTCACCCCCCAAATCACTAATACAGCATAAGTATCTGAAGCATATTTCAACTAAGCCATTTAAAAAAAAAAAGTGAGTGTTCACTACCCCTGAGACCACTAGTTGTGATTCATACTTTAAAAAATTGTGAGTACACCCACACGAGAAAGCAAACTAGAATTTCTAAAAAAAGGTCTGATTATCACATTGCCAACTTGCCCAGGAACAAAAATGAGTCCACTCACAATATAATTTACTATTAGCAAGTCCACTGGACTGTAATTCTCATAGGTTACAGAAACTACTTGAGTTTGTGCATTAAAAGATATAGGAAATATACAAGAACCAAAATCATTTTTTAATCTGTCAATATTCACATGAGTCCTACACATGGCACTAGTAATGTAAATGGGAATAAAAGGGCAAATTCTTAGATTCTTTAAAAGGTTTCATTGGAGATAATCTCAAGTCCAGTGTCCATACACTCAAAAATGTTGGTTTCCAGGTATGTACTTTACTGTTCTCTTAAGCCTGGAGAAGTCTTTATGGCTCATTCCTTTAGAAATGACATAGAAATGTTGTAGAAATCAAGTCAGATACAGAGAACTGGACACATCTAATGTTAAACAATCAATGGTGTAAGAAAGTCATCTCTATTAAGTACTTAAGAGTTGTCTATGGCTAAGGTCAATCTGAAAGCCAATTAGCGATCCAACAGCAGGTGTTTTATGGTTGGCTTTCAAATAATGATATGCCCACTAAAGCTGTTATTTTGAGAGTAGATTCTCAAAAGTAAGTATTTTGAAAATAGAGCCAAAGGACAGTGTATCTTAGCTTGTAGAGAGCAGTATGTTAATTTTTCATTTGTAATTTGAATCCAAAAGTATTAAATGTATGACACCTACCCTTAAGGAGTCGATTTTTAAGCAAAAAAATTAAATTTAAAAAATCATTCATTGGAAAAAATTGTTGTTAGATTGATATTTCTCAATGAAATGCTTATCACAGAATTAAGCCAGAACATGTTCGGAAGGCATGCATTTCACTTCCAGTTTAGAGAATCTCAGTCAATAAATCATGTCCAAACTACATATTAAAATGTTTATAAAAATCAAGCTTTAACATTTATTTTATATCTAGCTTTCCACATGTGTGCAGACAAGAAATAAGATTGCACATAAGTGTAAGCAGTGCAAAAATGTGGAAGTGGAGAAAGGTCAGACGTGCTAGAAATCGGATACAGATTCTAAGAAAGCAATGGACAAATCAAAATAACTAGGAAAAGGGTAAAACTACATGGTCAGAATTAGGAAGGGTGAAGAATGATAATGCCCTTGTTGCTACAGAAGTTAAATTAGTGGCACACATAGCACTTGTCAAACGAAAAATTATCCAATAGCATTGACTTTTATTCATTCATGTTAGGTCACCTGAAATGATATCTGTTGCATTTAAATGCTCATTAATGTAAATGGCTGAACAAACCCATTTCAATGGATACTCAATATCCCACATAGTTAAGTCACTTCAACATAGCCTCATGACAACTCCCACACCAAACAGTACTTTATTTTGTAAATTTAAACCCATACAAAATGCAACAGACTGTGCACTTTTAACTGAACATGGCAAAATATTCACTCTTTTGAACTTTACATCATCATTTGATGTCAAACAATGAAGCAAATCCCAACAGTATATACAAAAACAGCTTTGCATTTACAAAAGATTGTTTCCCATACTGATTAATCCAGGCAGCTAACTCATTGGTTTATGCAACTTTATTGAAGAAAAATAAATCAATTACTAGCAGAGCTATTAGTTGATCACTCATCCATTGACAACTTGCATCATTTATTCAGTGCTATATTAAACAGTGTATTGGAAGATAGATTAACTAATAGCTCCAAGCCTCCTAACAATTTAAATGAAAATTACAAAATGTTTGAGACCCTATTTTGGAATACAAAGGGTGTTTTGACTTCCAATTTCCATTCTCTGTAGAACAAGAACAGGTCATTCCTTTATTGACATGCATAAAATACATCACATTTTCTGTTCTGCTGATGCTATAAATTCAATACCAATTCTCCAGCCACATCAGTTATGAGCATAAAGTATATCATGTAACCTCAGATCTCTAACAGTGGAAGGCTTAAACAAGAATGGATGCTGCTAGAATAATGCTGTTTCCTTTGATGCGACAACTGAGCCTCCATCTCCCTCCCCCTCAGATGATTTCTTCAGCATGTTAGAGCAGTGAGGAATGGTTTTAGTCTCATAACCAAATTAGAGTGAAGACATTGGCCACATAATACACATGCTCCATTTTTTAAAAAAATTCTGAATCTTGGGCAACTGTTCTCTTGTAACTACTTTACAGTTTCTAAAAGCAGTTATTGTCCAAAGCTGGAAGAACTTAAGTCTTCTCAGATGAGCATGTGAATGAATGGAGGGAGGTAAACAAAAAATAAAATTAAAAAAGATGAGGTCTGATAGGGGAGCAGCCGGATAAGAAAATCAAAAAAGGAACAGTAATTTAAAGTTTATTCCAGCTATAATGCAGGTTATTCTGACTTTAAGGTAGCATCACATGGCATACTTCTGAGTCCATTCCCGAGATATTCTGTTGTACCTGTAAACAAAGAATATGTTATTTAAAAAGTTAAAGAATACTTAAAAGGGAAAGACTTCTATGTTACCTCCAGACTCATTTTAAAGTCATCTAATGGCTGTGATTAGAATAAAGCCAACAGGGAGAAATAGTATTGGTATTCATTCAAAGCACTGTGGAAAATAAGAACCTTATGCCTCCAGAATACTAAACGTAGTATTTTAATAAACACAACAAAGTGGCACTGAGATTGGGGAAGCTAACAAAAATCAAAGACCTTTAATCTGCCCTACCAACTGAGCTAATGTTCTCATAGAAAATCTACAATTAGTATCCATTCCAAGTAATTTTAACATTTAAAAAAGTTTACAGTTCATCATGGAGTTGTCAGAACAGCACACACATTCTGTACATCTATAGAAATTTCCATCAAAGCCAGAACAAAACAGTTAACTAAACCATTTTATTCGAATCCTAGACTTTGACCCTGAGTATTATCAGAAAATGCCTTTAAGACCTAAGCACAGGCAGAAGATTAAGACATTGGAGAGGGTGGTAAAAGAGTAGTTTTCCAGAGGTGGGTGTGAGTGGTATGTGTCAATTAGAACCACGTGGGTTATTTTCAAATAGTGCGGTGATTGGAGATAACAAGCCTCACTTGAGACCTGATGAATTGGAATCTCTAGGGGTCCTCAAACTGTGGCCCGCCGAAAACAGAAAACATTTATCCGGCCCGCAAAGTGTTTTTGCCGCTGCTGCCTGTCCTGCTTAGCAGCCAACTCATCCCGGGCCCGCAAGTGCGCATGTGTGGAATGTCTGAGGGACAGTGAACTGGCGCCCTGTTTAAAAAGTTTGAGGACCTCTATACTGGAAATAACTTCGCTTAAAATAAAATCAACAGGTAATTCACACAAAAGCAAGGTTATTTATGCTGAGAAAGATCACTAATATTGATAAATGCCATCAATTTCTCCATTAATACCCATTCCATAGTCTTACTTAGCAACAAAAAACATGATAACCTTAATAAGAAATGAATATATGTCAAAGGGCACAGAACTTTCAGATATTTACAGTTTTGAACTTTATAAAGTATTAACTATCTTCATTTCAACAAGAACTAAACATGGTTCAAGCACTTTTCTCAACTTTAACATATAGAGAAGTTCTTTATACCAATTCATGGTGACTTTTATTTAAGGATACCCTCTCAAAAAGCCAGCACTTTTAAACAAAGGTTTCACTTAGCATATAGGGAGCCACAAAGTAGAGCTAACACTACTGCATGCATGTCAGTAATGAACATTTAGTTTATAGGCATAGGCTTAATTAAAGGCATAGGCTCAATTAAAAGTTTTCCCCCTTATATTATTATCTCAGCAAAATCTAAACTACATCATCACATTCCATACAGTATGGGTACAAAGTTAAAAATATACCAATTTTAAAATGTAAACACCATGGAGGTTTGAAAGATTATTATTTAAATTTCCATTTCTTACTAGTGCTATATAACGACTTTGTCATGCAAAAATACTCTCAAGCAATAACTACTGGGTATTCTTTCACGCTAAACAGAGATCAAGCAGTTAAAGAACCGTTTTCAGAAAACTGCCACATTGGTTACCGGTTGTTAGTTGATACAGTGCCTTAAAGCATGCAGCACTCAAGTGCTGGCAGTACCATGAATAAGCGCACCATAGAGTGCAGATCCTCTTACCCTACAACATAGCGTATTTCTCTGTCCACTCTCTTGCTAACCTATTGTACCTAATTGAACAAGTATACTTAGTGTTAATTATAAATACAAAAATTATAATGGTAAAGTTGTACATAAAAATAGTTCAGATATTTGAGAAATTTAGACCAAAGTTTTAAAATAGTACCAATATTATTTTCAAAACGTAATTGTGGTGAAGAATTTGCTTTCTTCCCCAAAACTTAATAATTAAAGTGACAAAGTGTTGAACATGTTAGAAAATAAAACATTTTAGAGGGGCTATTATTCACTGTCACATAACTAAAACCTACTATCATCTTACCAGAAATTAGCACCAAGTCTTCTTGGCATTGCCACAACTTACAGCAGAGTATAAACCTAACTCATTCAGAAAAATTACAAACTACTACATACTTACTTATCTCTGTCTGTTTTATAGATCCGTGCAATCTCTGGCACTAGGGGGTCATCTGGGTTTGGATCACATAGCAGTGAACAAATGGATAAAAGAACTGCAAGAAAACAAATGTGGTTACCCAGCACCGGGATTTTGAATTTTTAAAAGTGCATTTAAAAACATTACTATACCCACTTACATCAAAGGATAGATCACCCAGACAGAAAATCAGTAAGAAAACAATGGCCTGAAATGTCACATTTCACCAGATGATCTTAACATATATTTAAGAACATTTCATCTAAAAACTGTAGAATACACATTCTTTTTAAATGTACATGGAACATTCTCTAGGATAGGTAACACTGTAGGCCATAAAACAAGTTTCAATTAATTCAAGACTGAAACTTTATAAAGCATCTTTTCTGACCACAACAGTATGAAACTAGAAATCAAAAGCTATTATAAACCTAAATCTTCAAAAGACTGTTATTAGTTTATATCTTCAACTTAATGAGAAAAATATTTACAGACATTTTGCTTCACAGGAGACGAGGTCCTGGTAAAAAAAAAAAAAAAGCTAAAAACAGAGCTCTGTTGGGTTTAATACTAGCTATAAAAATATTGCCAAACTCCAGAGTTCCAAGATAGTCAAATAATGCCATTGTTATTCTTTAACTAGGTGGCAGTAGAATTTAAGTCACTAGAATTTCTTAGTACTGAAGTAGGAAAATAGCTTTAATATGAATATATTTGGGGAATATCCATACCATACTATTCTTAGCTGTACAGTATAAAAAAATTTTAAAAAGTCCATTCTATCCTGCCCTCCCCTTAAGAAGTTTCACAGAAACTCCTAACTGCTCCACTGAGTATGATTCCTTCCCTTGACTTTACAAGGTAGAGGCCACATACCTAAAAGTATGGACTAAATGAAACAACACCGTGGTCTAACTAAATGAGCTTTCAATGCTAACTCTTACCCTTATCCTATTCAACATGGAAGATGCCAAGCATCATGAATCTGTCATTTTAAATGTCTAGGATGTGCCAGACATTGTGCAAGGTGTTATGCAATTTTCAGATATAAAAACTTGAAGTGGGTATGACAATCTTTAGATGAAGACAAAGAAAATACCATAAAAAAATCAATGTAATATATTATTACAGAAAATATAATTTTAAACCCAAGTGCAAGAGAGCAGATATAAAACTCAGCCTGTACTTACAGAAACATAATGTTCAATATAATAGTGCATTCCCAGCAATGGCAAAAAAAACCTGGAACCTACTTTTTAAGGTAATCAAAATACCAGGTACCAGGTGGGTAAGAGAGCCTAACTTGAAAGAAAATGGAAATGCCTCCAAGAGGGTGAAAACAGGTCTTAAAATTAGGTCACACTTGAAAAAATTATGGCAGCAAATTGTTCTTCTCTCCCCCAAAAGTGATTCTAGTCAAAAGTTTGAGAAATCCTGTACTACTCCTTAAGGAGATTCAAATGCATTATACAAACATACGAAAAAATTTATGATATCCTGTCTTAAATCCTGTTTCAGTTTGCATTTATTATACTCACAACATTAAAAACCTAATTTTGTGTACCTAAGGAATGCTAAACCAATACCAAAAACTGAAAATTACTTGAAGGCAGACTTCCTTCCCATTTAGTTTTGTGGTAGGTGATTTTTATCTGTGGGGTGAAAAGTGAGATAAAAAAAGGAGATAAAGATGGAGAGATACTCCATATCTCCATCTAAAATATTCATATAAAGACCAGACAACCTATTAGAGATGTCACATAATAAATCCCTATTAAAGGTAGAAAAGCAGACCTAATCTAGAGAGATTTCCAAGATTCTCTAATTTTCGACTGTTAGTAAGTAGTAACAAACGATCATGTTTTCATAACACATACCTTAAATTTTTTTTAAAAGGACTCAATAAAAGTTTATCAAAATGTTTTTTAATCTTAAATAATAAACACGTAACAGCAAAATCAAAATTATCTTGTACTGGAAACCTCAAAATTTAAAAGCTCTATGAAATTTAGGTATGCCATTTTAGTTCAAAGACAGCAAGTAAGTAAGCAAGTGAGAAGTACAAGTAGCTTAAGATTGAAAAATACTACAGAAATCACTTTGCTTTTATTATTTGAAAACAATGCCCCAACACCCTAATTTAAATTTTACCTTCTTCCCACAAATCTCTTTAATCAATAATGCAAAAAGAGCAAAGATGATGTAACTTATTCCTTCCCCATCTCTTATCAAAGTCAGCATAATATGCAGACAAGTAGGTGCAAAACTAAAATTCCTTTAACTACTAGAAAATCAGAGCAGTTCAAGACAATTCCTTTAGTTTACCTTTAGAAATAGTTAATGCAGGAGACCACTGTGATCTTAGAATATCGAGACAAATGCTGCCATTACTGTTAATATTTGGATGATAAATTCTTGTTGTAAATGCAACCTAAAATAAATAAAAAACCTTTAGGCATTTCTCCTAAATAAAAACAAGCATCCTAACTTAGGTAGAGGTTCTGTAGAAGACTTTTAGCAAGGCTTAAAATATTATCATAGTTTTAAAAAATCAAATCGCTAAAACCTAATTTATATACATAAAAAGACCAAAAATTACAGAAACTAATTTTTATATTCTCATAAAAAATCCTTCAAGAGTTCCCTCTTTTTTAATTACAATGGAAAATATAACTTTGGGGCAAGAGTATTACAGTGGAACGTTTCTCGAATTAATTCATTCTGGTAGGTTGTTCGAAAACAGAATCATTTTTTCCTTAGAAAAAATGTAAATTAAATTAATATGTCCCAGAGCCTCAAATGATTCCATTTTATTCTTTATTATATACAGTACATGTCTATTGTACTGTTTAATCTGTAAATAAACACTTAAAAAAACAAAAAGGACATGCAACAGAAATGAAAATTTAACAACGGAAATGTACAATAAATGAAAATTTAACAATTGTAAGCAAAAAAGCACACAAATATTCACAGTATAAATAATATTCTGAGATTTTAACTCATATTTGAGTGCATATTCTCTTTGTAACTTGAAAGATGTATGACTAATCATACAGGTATCAGCATGAAAGGGTTGTGAAGTGAATTGTTCGAGATGGGAGATGTTCAAGAAATGAGGTTCCACTGTAGTCTCAACAGTATAGTGAATGTTCTGAAGGTTATCTTTGGTCCTACCATGTCATAAGTATCAAAGAGTAACTTGAAGGGTATTTTTATTTTAACACTCATTAAAAAATAAAGATATTGCTGATTGTAAACCAAAATTTATAGACCAGCTAATTTAAGGTATCAAGTTACAAAGGTATAGATTTGACTTTGCATTTCCACTGTACATAAAATACAGTATACACCTTTGAATATCACCTAGGTGTTTCATCTAAAGTAAATGTCATATTGCACCCATAAGATGAAGATGGTCATAGTGAAGTGTCAATGTTCTATATGTATATTATCTTCTATGGTTAGTTGCATAGGTTGAATTTATGTAAAGTAAAGGAACATATGTTTTTGACACCTGTAAACCAGCCCACCTCAGTCAGTGCATTAAGCAACTCTAAGTTTTGATATTTAGTTATGCATGCAAACTCAAATTCCCAAAGTAATTATACTCTGCCTAAACTCCAACACAGTGATAGTATAAGTTGCAGCAATATGTGCACAAAGATTCTGTAACTGAACACCAGAAACCTATTACAAGATAGTAGGGTTAATAATCCAAATCCGTATAAAAACAATAAGGGGGGGGGGGGAGAGGAAATCCTACATAGCACATTTGAGCCCGACAACATTAAAGATAAGGTATTCCTTACCTCCGTTTACAAAATTCAAATCCAGGTCTAGCTTGTTTTAACTAAAGTTTAAGAGTCAGCATTCTTTATCAATGACTCAATTTAATATATTATATATATATATACACAGCCTCAATTATTCTTATCCATTATAAATAACATACATCAATTTTAGCCTTAATTATGCAAAACCCTAATTTCCTTTTTTACTGAATTTATTGGGGTGTCAGTGGCTAATAAAATTATATTAAGTTTCAGGTGTACAATTCTATAATACATCTATATACTGTCTTATTTGTTCACCATCCCAAGTCTCTTTCCATTACCATTTATCCTTCCTACAGTCTCTTCTACCTCCTCCCATCCCCCCTTTCCTCTGGTAATCTGGTAATCATCATACTGTTGTCTGTGCCTACAAGATTTATTTTTTCTTAATTCCTTCACCTTTTTTTTCACCCAGCCAGATAACCCTCCTCCCCTGACAGCTGTCAGTCTGTTCTCTATTATTAAGAATGCCCTATTCCTCTGAAATAAAATATAAATCTATACACTAACAGATTTTTTGGGGGGGGTTGGGGGTACTTGCCTTAGGTGGTTTGAAGGGGTAGTCTGTAGGAAAATGAATTGTCAAAAAGAATACACCACCTTGATATGGGCTGTCATTCTGTGGGGGAAAAAAAATATGCTTAACTGATACTTAAAACATTACTGTTAAATAATCCAAATGTAACACTTCTATTTTCTAAGCATTTCTCTAATAACAAAACAAAATTACCTACTACTTACACTGCAATAAAAGGTTAAATTACCTAAAATCCAGCTCATATCAAGGAAAAACAATCAAAATTTACTATAGAGCCATGAATGCTAATTTACTTAAATCCCATTTTACATAAGTCACCAAAGAATTTAAAAATTTATCCAGAAACAAATGTTCTAGGTCTTGATTTTCACAAAAGTATACTTAGCAATAAAGTCAATAATGCAATATTATTAAACAAACTATAATTTGAAAATAAATTCTTACATTTGTAGAATGATAGTAATATACACACAAATGGTTTTGTATCATCCTGGCCACGGGCAAACCAAAATGTTAGCTATTGCAGGTAACATACAACTAGCTTCACCAGAAGCAGAACAGAAATAAATAGGTTTTTTAAAGACAGTTTAATTCCAAATTGGCCCCTCAAACTTCTCATTTAACACCATGGAAGTTTTTTCTTCAAAAGCATACTGAATTCTCCACAGCAAATCAATTCACAGGATTACTAGATTTGGAAAACAATGTGGATTTGTTCTTAGATTTCAACAGAAAACAAATTTTCAAGTTATAGCAGTATTCTTTCTCCTTTGTTGTTTTGCTTATTAGAATTTGATTGTGAAGAAATCCCTTAGCAAATAAGTATTACATACATTAGTATGAAGCAACATTTGCATGAAACTACTTGCTAGGACTTTACATTAATTTAACCAATACCAAGAAAAAGATATCATTGTTCCCCATTTTATGGATGAATAAAGAGGGGCTTAAAGAAGGAATTTAAAATTCTCAAGTGCACAAATAATGTATCACAGAACCAAGATTTAAATCCAGATCTTATGAAAACCACTGATCAACACCAATCAAAGAATGATGACAGAGTCAGGATTTTAAGGTAATAGAAAATATAAAATTGCTTAATTGCCCTTGGATAGACAAAGATGTTATTTGAAAATTTAGAGTGACTGGAGTATGTACATAGCGTAAAATGAGTTTTTTCACTTGCCCATTCTGGGTGTTAGGCAAATAAAAACTTCTATAGTTCTGACATTTTAATATAGCTCATTTAACCCACAGCGCTCTGTAAAATAATTAAGTACTAGTTGAATTAATCTAACTCCCTTCTTTATAGGGGGTATAAGGGATAGACAGAACAATTTCTTATCTTGATGGACTTACAGTCTGGTAAAGAGACATGCAATGAGATATGTTACAGAGAGGAAAATTGAACAGGATATACCTGGGCTTTAAAAGAAATCAATTTACTGATGAAAAATCAAGTTCAAAGAAACATGCAAATTGGAAATGAAAGAACAATTTAAACCAAGTCTTTTGTACTCCAAACTCTTTCTTTTTTGTACTATCTAGTCTATATTTCATACAATTAACAATTTAAAGATAACCCTAAAAAGTTCTTATAAAATCCAAGTCCAAAAGTTTTTTAAGCCTTCATTCCAAGTTTCACAGTCAAATGCTATTATCTGACTGCTTCTGAAAAGGCAATCTAATGATGAGATTTAGGCAAAGCCAAATTTCATTTCATTTGTTCAAAAAAAAAATTTGTGAAATGAAAATATTTTAAGGTTACAATGTAACACAAATTCTACAATCAAAGAGGAAAAACTGGTATAACTACAAGATTCAGAGTAATAAGCTATGCCATCAAAAAACCCGAAATTCTCTACCAAATTTACCATAAATTGTCAAACAGAAAATACAACAAAGAGAAAAAAAAAAGTAATACTTTGATCAGTAAACTGACCCAAATCTTAGAAACCCAGGATTTTATATTGAATCTCTGCTTTAGACACCACACCTCTACCCCGGTTTTGCTCCTATCAGTCCAAGTTGCTCCTTTCTCAGTGTCTATACCAGGGGTGGGCAAACTTTTTGACCCGAGGGCCACAATGGGTTCTTAAACTGGACTGGAGGGCCAGAACAAAAGCATGGATGGAGTGTTTGTGTGAACTAATATAAATTCAAAGTAAACATCATTACATAAAAGAGTACGGTCTTTTTTTTTTTTTTAGTTTTATTCATTTCAAATGGGCCGGATCCGGCCCGCGGGCCGTAGTTTGCCCATGGCTGGTCTATACTCTTCCACTATGGCAAGCCTAAAATGTTAACATTCACACAGATTCATCTTCTGCTTTTATCTCCTGACCCATACTCTTAAGTCTTGCTCTGATGTTTTTCATTCCAGGACATATATTCAAATGCCTACAAATATTCCTACTTAGATGTCTCCTATGTCCAAAACTGAAATGACAATAGCAGTTACAAATCAGGATCTCATCATTGACTGTCTCATCTCCTCAAAATAGTTACAAATTGTAATGAGCCTTAAAATCTCTTGAATTATCCTACTCTCCTTTGGCATGCCCACTGCCCCTATTACCTTAGCTCAAGATCTTACTACAGTGATCCCTTCCTTAGCTGTGGTTTCATTTCTGCAGTTTGTTACCCAGTCAGAAAATATTAAATGAAAAATTCAAGACAAGAAATAACCAATTCTTGTTTTAAATTGCACACAGTATTTAAAAAAATATATTTTTATTGATTTCAGAGAAGAAGGGAAAGGGAGAGATAGAAACATCAATGACGAGAGAGAACCATTGATTGGCTGCCTCTTGCACTCCCCTTACTGTGGGCTCGAGCCCGAAAGCTGGGCATGTGCCCTTGACAGGAATCGAACCTGGAACACTTCAGTCTGCAAGCCGATTGCTATATCCACCGAGCCAAATCGGCTAGGGACACATGCAGTTCTGAAGGTGTGCTGTCCCACTCGATCCCACCCATAACATGAAGTATCCCTCTCTGTCCAGCATACCTAGGCTTATCTCCTGCTTATTAGTCACTTAGTATCAGATATGTCACAGTATTGTGGTACTTGTGTTCAAGTAACCTGTTTTACTTAATTAAGGGCCCAAAGGGCAAAAGTGGTGACACTGGCAAATCATATAGGCCAAAGTAAAGCCAAAAGCACTTTTACGGGAAAAGGTAAATACAGTACAATAAGATATTTTGAGAAAACCCACATAGTTTTTTCTACACTATAATAATAAAAGCGTAATATGCTAATTATACCGGACGTCCTTCTAGACTAAGAAAGGGCTGCCAGGGAAGCCCGGGTCCTGGGTGTCAGAGGGAAGCCGGTGCTAGCAGCTGGGGGAAGGAAGGCCTACCCTTGCACAAATTTTGTGCATCGGGCTTCTAGTACTGTCATAATTCTCTTTTATTACTGTTGTAAATGTCTAATTTACAAATTAATTTTTATCACAGGGAAGTATGCATAGGAAAACACACAGTATATATAGGGTTGGGCACTTTCTATGGCTCCAAGCATCCTCTGGAGATCTTGGAAGATATTCCCTGCCATGGAAAACGGGGGGACTACATCTTTTGTCTACCATTATGGCAATGACTTGGCACTGGTATTCCTGCCTTCACTACAGCTTTGCCCTATTGCTGTAGTCTTTTAAAGATACAAGTTATAGCCCTAACCGGTTTGGCTCAATGGATAGAGTGTCGGCCTGCAGACTGAATGGTCCCAGGCTCGATTCCAGTCAAGGGCATGTACCTTGGGGAGGCAGCTGATTGATGTTTCTCTCCCATTGATGTTTCTTACTCTCTCTCTTTCTCTCCCTTCCTCTCTGTAAAAAACCAATAAAATATATTTTTTAAAAAAGATACAAGTTATTACTCTGCTTGAAATCTAGTACAGCTTTCAAGACAAAGGTCAAAGTCCAAACCATCCAAGGTGCTTTAAGATCTGGTTCCCACCCACGAAGTTAGCCTCATTTTCCACCAAAATATGCTCATTCCTGCACATAAATAAGTATGCTTCCTATCTCCTTTACCCCCTACTTGAAATATTCTGACATGTCCTTATCTTCTGTATCTGCAGGACCATACCTAAATACTGCCTTCCTGTAGTCCACTCTGCTGGCTGCCCTTCTCTTATACCCCATCTCTACAGTTACTATGCCCAACATTCTTGTAACTTATTTACTTGTAGTTCCCTTTTCCACTAGACTACAAAGCTGCTTTTTTAAAAAATATATATATATATATTTTATTGATTTTTTTCTAGAGAGGAAGGGAAAGGGATAGAGAGTTAGAAACATCGGATCAGCTGCCTCCTGCACACCCCCTACTGGGGATGTGCCCGCAACCAAGGTACATGCCCTTGACCAGAATCGAACCTGAGACCCTTCAGTTTGCAAGCCAAAGCTTTATCCATTGAGCTAAACCGGTTAGGGCTACAAAGCTTCTTAAAGAGTAAGGTACTGAAGGGAAGAGTTTTTATGTATCATTAGATTTTGCAAGAAATGCCCTAATATATAAATGGAAAATGAACTAATAAAATACCAATGACCCAATTATTTCAGATGGTTTTCGTGGCTGATTTTGCTCAGGCTACAATGGTTACATTATTCACAATTATGGTACAGCCATACCTCGTTTTACTACACTTCAGGGATGTCGCTTTGTTTTTTAAAACAAATTGAAGCCAAGACAGCTTACCAGCATAAAGATTATGACTCACTTTATTGTGATATCAGCTTTATTGAGGTGGTCTGGAATCTAACCCACAATACCTCTGAGGTATGCCTGTACTTTCTTCTATGGCTTCATCAAAGATTAGGTAGAAGTCAGTGTGGTTTTCCAAAGAATTTCAAAATATCTTTCTGACAGCTCCATTTCCAATTAAAGAAAAATCAGGCATGTAAATATCAGAAATAATAGGCAAGTTAATTTTTCAACTCATCAATTCTTAATAGGAATTACCAGCCGAAGTTTTAAAAATTGCCTAACTAAGCAATGCTGTTAATTCTTTCAAAGGTTTACTTTTTATGTTACCTTCACAAAGAATATGCTAACACATATAATTAGAACACTGGTTCTCAACCTTCCTAATGCCGTGACCCTTTAATACAGTTCCACATTTTGTGGTGACCCCAACTATAAAATTATTTTCATTGCTACTTCGTAACTGTAATTTTGCTACTGTGATGGATCATAATGTAAATATCTGATATGCAGGATGTATTTTCATTGTTACAAATTGAACATAATTAAAGCATAGTGATTAATCACAAAAACAATATGTAATTATATATGTGTTTTCAATGGTCTTAGGCGACCCCTATGAAAGGGTCGTGCGACCCCCAAAGGGGTCGCGACCCACAGGTTGAGAACCTCTGAATTAGAACCAAACGTTTTTGCCTCGTAACTTCTAATGACCAACAGCATTTCCTGACTATAATCCACTAAAATTCAACAGTGACTCTGTACTAAAACTTATTAGATGTTCTATTCCTTAGAAAGTCAGAAATCTTGAGTTCCTTGGTACTGTCATTACTTTAACTTAACTAAAAAATACTCGAAACAAAAATAATTTTGTTACTATTTGTTCTTCCAGCAAATCTGCAATTATGGGTTGTTACGTCACCACTAGCCCTGTTCTTTTAGGTCACATCTGTATTACATATAAAGTAAGCATACAGCGGGGACTTGACTTACGAGTTTAATTCGTTCCGAGACCGAGCTCATTAAGGAGCTCATTAAGGAGTTCGTTAATGCAAATTACTCTGTCAACTCAAAGCAAAAAATCGGCAGAGACACAGCTGGTTATCTCAAAAAACTCGTTAGTCGGGACACTGGTAAGTCAAGGCCCCACTGTACGAACAAAATAAGGTATATTTACCTAATCAAATTATTATGTTTTGACATAAAGATGGTATCAAAAGTCAAAAATATAATGAGCTGTGTTATCAATGATAATCATTAATTACTTACAAGTCAGCACTTAAACTTCAGTGCTTACTTATAAAGAGGACAAGACTGGTATTTTGGGTGAGTTTTTGTAACCTTTGAATACTTCCTAAAATTATCCAAACAGTAAGAAACAATCTCTTAGAAAGCAAGTACATTTCAGGAAATAATGCAGCCAAAGCAAAACTGTAATTGCAGTTTAAATATTTTGCTTCTGTTAATCAGGGAATATTTAAATAGTTCTGAAAACCAAATTACTGTCCTTTTAAAAGCAGAAAACAACTAGTCACTAATATTATATTAAAAGGCTGCTGAAGCCAGGGCATGTATCTCGGCTGCAGGTTTGATTCCTGACCTGATCAGGGCTTACAGGAGGCAACCAATCAACGTGTTCCTCTCACAAGGATGTTTCTCTACCTCTCTCTCCCCCTCACTCCCTTCCACTCTCTAAAAATCAAGGGGGGGAGGGGGAATCCTGGGGTGAGGATTAACAAACAGCTCCTGAAAAATAATTTAGCAAGAATAGCCATAACTATATGAATGAAGATTTCAATATATGAAATGAAGATTTTTTTGGAAATAAAAGCAATAAAGTAAAGAGCTTAAAAATTGTCAGGGTAAGCAATTTTCTATCTTCTATTCGCTGAAAAATTACTAGCATGAACTACTCATTTATGTTTCACTTTAAGTTTACTATAGGTATATTCCTTACTTTTGGAAAAGAATAATAATAAGTGAAATTTCAAGTCAAGCAGAAAAACATTAGACTGGTTTTAAGAGTTGGTTTATTATGCACACCAAAGAGTTGATTACTCTTTGGGGTATTAATACTGACAACTAATTTTTATAATGAAATTATCTCAAAGCACCCTCTGGATCAAAGATGAGCTTTATTTGATAGATATGATGAGTTTTACTGAATGCTTTGAAAATTGGGTGATCTAAAATGGGAAAATTCTAGAAGTTGCAATTTCAAGTGCCTACAGATTCTATCTAGGTAGGCAAAATAAAGTGAATCTGGTAGAACTATGACAAACCCCATATTAAAAAGGGAACCAGCTGCCACTCTGTCCCAAGCCAATTTTGCTCGTGGGAATGAGGGCCTAGTCAGGGTTTTGTTTTTTTAAATGCGAAGATTGTCAGCTTTTAAAACACTTCATGGACCAAAGTGGGCAAAGCCACTAGTAAATTATATATATTGAAAAAATGTATATATAACAATTTTGTTACCAAATCAGACGAAAGAATCACTTTAAAAGTAAAATAAAGCAGTAAAAATTGCTCGAGATTGAGAATGAATAATCCTGATTTGTTAGATATTAGTATAACTCACATATATTCATATTATTAAACTAAATACAATCCCCCAAGTTTGATTTGATTCTTAATCTCTTTACCTCTAGGGTCATAACATTTCATAATTACTCTAACTCAATTTATTTCTCCTACATTTCTCTTACTAAGCACATTACCTATTATGTATTTCTCATGTTTTAATTGCCTGCCTCTCCCAGTACATTTAAATTTCTTAAAGCTTGAGAGAAATTGTGTCTATTGTATCCTTAACAGCACACAGGCAGGGGGCTCACATTGACTGAGATAGAAAAAAAGATTGAAATTATCAAAATCAAAACTGCTGAAAAACATTTTTTGATCCAACCCATCTGTTGGCCAACTTTTCCAAAGGTCTTTTAGAATTATAAACATCTACTTATTGACCATTATCTTCCCTAATACCTTATTGCCATTTATGTTGAGATTAAATCATCAAAAAGGGAAGAAAGCAGAAAATTCAGTTAAGACACACAGACTAGAATAGAAATCTGAAAGTGCCTTCCACGTAAAAAAAAGTGTTAAGTATTGTTTAAGATATAGTCTTACCCCAGGATGTTTTACTGCGTTCTAATTCTGTGAAATTCTTAGATGGTATCCATAATTCTGAATATTCAATTATCCAGCATATACAGTTTCTTATCTACCCAGGATAGAAAGGAATTTTGCTGTATTCAAAATATCTCTTTCTACCTAAAAATATTCAAATTTTGTATAATACCAAAATTCCAGAAAGAATCAAATATAAAAATAATACAGTTAAAACTAGATTTGGGGATGTTAACTGAATAATCTTTTGAGTAACACCCTGGTAGAGCCAGTTAATTAATTGGCTGTACAAATAACAGGAAACTGTGACAATGCTTTATACTGCTATGAAAGGAAACTAGATTGATGTGAAGAGATATTTGGTAGGTTAAAAGATGCTATACTCTAGACCACAGGGACACCCACATAGTATACATAACAAATGACTAATTCATTAAATTACTCTTTCTTTCAAAAGAAAAGTACAACTATGCATATTCAAAACAGAATTACAATGTAATACAAGAAACGTAAAGACTAAGTTAAAAATTACAACTAGATGCTGAATTTTAAGCACAAAATTTTAAATTGTTAATACTTACAGGTCCCATAATTGTGGCTTGCCAATGAAACACTAAAATCAAAACAAAACAAAAAAACTCTTGTTATCTAAAAATGTAAAACTTTTAAGAAATTAGCCATAAAAATAAACTTCAAAGTTACTTACTATCATCCCCAACTGGACCTGCAGAACACTGTGCTGGAGGGTCACGGGCCAAATCACTAAGTTCCTACACCAAAGCAGAAAATTATAATAAGAGTCAATATGCTAATACCGAGACCCCATTTTCAATAAAAACGTGGAAAAAATATGTCCTGATACACTCTGCTAATTTGCTTCTGAAAGTCACACCACAACTGCTTATAAGGTAATCAAGACAGCCAGAAAGATCCCAGGATTCACAATGCTAGAATGATATATAATAGCAAATGCTTCCAGTTCATTTTCACCTCATCCTTTTAGAAACAATCACTATTCACAATAATAAATATACTCTATTAGAAGAGGGAAATGGTTACTTATTGGACACATCCAAGACAACCACCTTGGCTAGGTGAGTTCACAAAGGTATATATAGACAGCAATATGAAATTCTTTATTACCCGAACAGCTGTCCTTTTGCAAACCAAAAAATTGTAATCAGGTATTTTCATAGCTTCAGAACTAGATAAGGCAGTTCTCAAGATTCACATCATGTGCTGAATTTTCCAGACCATCTCAGAGGCCCTCATTTTTACTGTCTTAAATTCTGTTCTTCTGAATCAAACTATACCCAGACCCCATTTTCCACTTGAAAAAACCTCATTTTGGTTTGATCTCCTTAATTCCCTCAACTTAGTATTAAATAAAAACAAAACAAAAACAAAACAAAACAAAAAAGGTTGAGTCAAATTACAACTCCGGAAGAACCTACCTCTCTAGGTAGAATTCTGCTCTTAGCAACTAACACAGTTTCCATAATTCCATCTGACCTTTTATTTACAAAAGATTTGCACGTGGCCCTTCCATGACTTGTGCATAACAAATGTGGTTTATCTATTGAGAATAAAGTTCACTACTAAGTTTAAAAAAAATTAAGATGATATATATCCTATCTAGTAATAGAAAAAATGGTAATTAACCATACCTCCAACATGCTTCCCATTGGCTAATCAGGGCGATATGCAAATTAACTGCCAACCAAGATGGCAGCCAGAGGCCAAGCAGCTGAAGCCAACAGGAGGCTTGCTTGCTCCAGTGATGGAGGAAGCCAGGTTCCCCGCCTGCTGCTGCCGGCCTCCAAGCTGCAGTCTAAGAAACAATGTTGCAATTATAGAAGCTAAACAAACCCAGAAACCTGCATTCAGCCAGCCGGGCCGAGCTGGAGTTGCAACAGTGTTTCAATTTTGAAGCCAAACAAACTGAGGTTTCAGAGCTGGAGCCCAGCCTCAGAGCTAAAGCCGGCTCTCAGCTCCAGTGACAGCCATAGAAGATAAATAAATCCCAGAATAAAAAAAAGAAAAAAGGAGAGGTTGGGAGTTTCAGTCACCCGCCAGCCTGAAAACAGCCCTCAGCCCCTCACCCAGATTGGCCAGGCACCCCAGTGGGG